CGATTGTTGCATGATACAAGCCAAGACTTTGGGTTCTTTATGGGCCGTATCTTTCGTTTAACGTCGACCATGCACACGACGAACCATTCCATCGCCTTTGTTTTCAGCCCAGTGGTTTGGCCCAGGGTAGACATACACCCATAACCGCAACTTGTGGGTATAATGCCCTCAATCCCTCCTCTCCGTGGATTCTTTCTTCACTGGCTTTATACACACGTGAAAACGAAACTCACGCGCTCACAAACCAGAGGAGAGGAGGTGCATATTCCAAAGGAATTTCGCCGCGCGGTCCTCTCTTCCCCTCTATGTACCCCGCATGTACCCCCCATGTACCCTCCGTACCCTCCGTACCCCCTCCAACAAACTCTTTTTCAAGGAGACCATTCAAAATCTCCAACACCAAATTTTTTACATTATTTTCAATAATCGTTCTATAATTACGGCTATTACAACTATTAATCATCTTTAATTCAATTTAATTATTAATGAAAACTCCAATTTTTTCAACTTTTAATTTGTAAATTTAAATTTATCGATGTCTTGATTTATTTAAACATTTGACTGGATTTAACCGAGAAATGATTATTTTTTTAATTCCGGTGATTAATTCCGCTACAATCATTATGAAACATAATTATTACACTTCTTTGATCATTAATATAAAAATCGGTAAATTTTGAGAGGGACTCAATAACTTCCAATGGAATTACATTCGGAAAACCATTGGAGATGCTCCGGAAAGTATTGGTTTCAGTTTATTAGGTGTCCATAACTTTTATGTTTATTTCTTTTCCACCAATTTTACCGCTCGTAACTATTTATGAATCCCCGGAACAATTTCTTTCAGAATTAATACGAACTGACTGTTGTTCTTACCTTTCTTCATGTCGGTTTTAGCTACTTATTCCCCCGAAATGCATGACGCCGCTTTTTGTTATTATCATCATTATCGAAGTTGAATTATATCAATTAATAACACTAGGTCTACATAGTCTCCCCAGACGCTGTACACTCGTTGTTCTTCATTATTTTTTCTGGCACTTCGCAATTACACTTCATGAAGCTCAAATAGAGACGCGGTCCAACCATTATTCCCTCGTCTCGGATATTATTAAAAAGTGTGCGCATATAATCGTCTCTAACACTCCACAATATATATGAGCCTAATGAGTCCATGAAAAATCGCAATAATTACAAAAAAGAGTCGATACAAATTGTAAAAAAGCGCACGTCTGTCAATAAAACGGCACGTTTAAAAAAAAACGAGACATCACCAGAGTATAAATGGTGGATGCATAAAAGTACCTCCACCAGAAGATTGTACTTTCACTCCAAAAATGCATGTGCTGATAAATTCTACTTTGGTTTCGTGTCTTCTGAACACGTGCACTCGATGCGTTTGTCGTAAATAACTTTTAAAAAAAAAACCATTGAGTTGAGGCGTGACACAAGAGGTAAATAAATGAAGCCGAGATCATCATGCGTCTCATTCCGAAAATATTGCGTCACAGGATGAACAAGAATTCACACGTACCATAGATTTTTATGCCGGACATAAATGTCTGATCAGTCCTGGGAATTTTAACAGCGTCGATGAAAGATAATAAAGAATGAAAAGCTGATAAAAATGAATAACAGTGATGAAAAAAAATATTAAAGCGAGTAAACAGACGTATCAGGGATGAGGTTCGTTAGTGAGTCTACGGACATAACGAAGGTCCAGAAGAACGAGAACGACGATAATTATTCAGTCCACTATCCCAAGGGACCACCTCGTACATACGCCAACTGCATGCAGAAAAAAAATTAACAAAAAAAAAGAACAAACGTTGCTCGCACCCTAAACTTGGTTCATGTGGCTGTTTCGGAATTGATGGAAATATTCAATAATCCCGTCTGGAAGTTGAAGGCAAGCTCTCATCAAGTGCTTATCAGGTTCCTGATCAGACATGTAATCCCTTTCTATCAGGGTACTCTAGTAGGAAAAATTACGTTTTTTTCCCGTAATTATTGAGCTTGTGGGTCGAGGGGTACGCCAGTAAATAAAATTTTTAGTCGGTTCGATAATTTTTACTGTGCAGTTACTAAACACCACTTGAATATTCTCGATGACTCAACTAGAAATCTTGTAATGTTCTCCGAACTGCACCCACGCAATTTATTACGTCAATTTTTGACAACTTAAGTAACAACTCAAATAGATAATCAAAGAGATGTCATTCCAACCGAGAGATTGCCCTCCTACTCCAATTTTTTTTTTTGCCGAGAATATTCTAATTGGACATTGAAAAATGCATGGCCTTGGGTGTCACTCCAGTCTGACATTCATGTGGAAAAAAATAATGTTCGTCTGGAGATCTCACCGATGACACAAAAAGATAGACCAAATGGCCGCGGTGGAAGAAGACAACATATTAGAAGAAGAGTGACTTTTGTTCGCTTGAGGATGCCTCCCTGTAATCATGATTTTTCATTCATATAATCAAGTGTTCTTACGGTCATGCACGCGGAAAATTATTGACCATGACCTTCGTATACCTTCCTGAAGGCGAGTGTTATGTGAACCATGAGGCACGTGTCCACCGTGCGTCCACGCTTCCACACTGTTTGCCCGCTCCCATTAATAAAGGGCCCGCTAATTTAACAGCTATCAATTACGATATAAAATTCGTGAGTGGTCCCACTGTGCTGTTTTTTATTTATTTTCCCAGGATGAACTTCACTCACTCAATCATACATACACCAATGGTCATCCATTTCTCGGCTATTTCAATCTGGAAATATTTATTTATAGACAGTCATTAAAAATCAATAATTAACATCTTTCTTTTTAAAACGAAACTTCAAATTCCATCATTTTTCTTTCATTCTATACATTAGAATTATAACATTATTATTCTTGTTGCTATTATCATTATTATATTTGCTACTAGGTGTAATATGAATATATATTACAATTGTTATAAAAAAATTATTTTCATAAGCTGTGAGGCGAAAGATCGTGATACTTTTCATTACACTTGGATTTTTTAAAAAGGGATACTTCGCTAAAAATACGGGGAAGTCTTAAAAATGTTTATCTCGGCATTTTAAATGTTTTTATTTGATTCTGAACTGGCTGATGCACCTTATTGGTCGCGTCACGCCTTCGAGGTGAGTGAACGCCTTAAACGGCTGTACTGAAGTATGTCCGAGACCTTTAATTTGGCACGTGTACCACACACTTTGCCATTGTTGGAATGATTATCGGTTTGTTTTATTTTTATGATGGTTTTTTCATTGGCTTGCCAAGCCAACACGTTACTCCAACTTGCCCTGCTCTTTATCCGATGGTTTTTTACCCTATTCCATAGCACATTTGCCCGTCTGACTCGGCACGCGCGATCCATCCAACCTCAAGGTACCTCTTGCATCTTTTACTCCATCGAATACCAGTCAAGGACGATCCTCTCTTCCATCACACCCAGTGAGTGCCAGTGTCTTGCAAGATCAAAGACGTCAAAGCGACCTCCATACATTTCACTTTTTTTCATCTCATTCCGGACATCCACGGAATTTAAGAAGTCCATTGTCGATATCTTATTACTTTTCACCTTTTCTGGAAAGTTATGGAACACGCTGGCTGTCAATGAAAAATTATGGGATATCCTATGATAACCATTATCATTTTCCATTGCAGTTTTCCATAATGGAACCCAACGTGGAATTTTTTCTATTCAATTTAGTCCCCGGATAAAAATGAGAAGAGGGGAAAATAATTCGGAAAAAATGCGAATCTTCGCTCTTTTGAGCTCTTGTTTTTTATCCGTGGGTTTATATAAATATCAAAAGAATGGGGATGGAAAAGAGATGAGGGAGGAGATGGAGGGCTGGAGGGTAAACAGGAAGTCAACCGCAATCTCTGGTGAGCTGCTATCCGAGTATTCACTGTAGAAGAGATAAATGAGAAAAACTTTTGCAAAAACCACTGCTGAAACCGTAATACAACCTAGGGTGGATCATCCCAAGGATTTGTAATTATATAACGTCACAAATTACATGACCGATATTCCCAACGTACGACAGCCCTTTAATTATTTCATCATTATTTTTAGAAATGGACGAAATTTTAATGTTAGGCTGACGTAATTTTTTGAATGCTAGCACTGAAAAATGAATTAATTAGTAGATGAATTAACGATACGAAAATTAATGAAGTGGAGATGATATATTTTAAAATTGATGATATATTATAATCGATGATATATTTTTAAATTCGTTATGTAAATTGTCTCTCAATGAAATATTGACAATCAAAGACCAGGAGCTGATGGAATAATCGTTCAATAAAAATATTTAGCTGAACACGAGGTCCAACACAATGAATGCCCTATTCGATGAGAATCGATTGCTACCAATCAGTTGCTTCATTGCTTCATTTATCTTCACAGTTTGATTTTTCCCCTCTGCTTTATATCGTTGATATGAAATTCGTGGCTAATTTACGCAGGCAAGAAACCGGTTGTGGGTTGGATGAGAGGAGATCCAGCATGTGTATTGAACGTTGGTAGGCCACCCATACCCAACACCATCGCGTGTTCAAGCTCAATTTCGTATTCATTAAATTCCCCATTAGCCAACCAATGGGCTGTTCCCAAAATCACTACTCCTTCACTCCAACACCCTAATCCCTTTTTGCGCAAATTCATCCTCAGGTGATAACGCTCTTATCTGTATTTTTATCTTATTTTGATATTTTTATGGTTGATATGTAGAACCCAGAAATCGTCTCACCAGTAAAACCGCCTAATTGCCAAAACAGACGTCTTTTTCAAAATTAAATCATCGCATTTTTCATTTTCATTCTGTCCAATATTATATATCATACAAAAAAAAATGGAAAAACGGTACTTGCGCGTCTGTGTTGGTAAGGCGATGATATATTTTAAAATTATTAAAGATATGTTCGAGCATAATCAGTGAATTCATCTGTACTAATTGTGATTAATGGCGATTTACAGGAATTAAAGGAGAGCTTCAACTACGGCCTGTTTTGTCCGCCAGTAAACGGAAAAGCTGGAAAATTTCTGGACGAGGAACGCCGCCTTGGGGATTATCCCTTCAACGGACCAGTCGGCTACTTGGAGGTAAAATAAATGCTCTTCTCGCATGCCATTAATATTTTTTAAGAGTACAAAATCGCATCATCAACAGACCCTAATTTACGGGGGAGTGAGGAACTCTCTAGATCTTCAACCGCTTCAGACAAGAATCATTTCATTATAATTAATTGAAGGGGTAATTTAAATGAAAGTATTTATTTTATTCCTATTCATTGATCCCAAAGATGAATTACTCTCGTTTAACTTTATCTCTTCGTTTACGACAATTGGATGGAACATGGACCCCCTACCTTGAATCACTTTTATTGACCATTGTCAATACGTTATGAAATTTATTTCCACCGAGTCTGTACTTGCAAAAAGAAAGGGTCTCCCTAAAAGAAGATTTCATGCTTTGAACATTGTAGACATTCGAGTCACGTACAAGGAAGCCCTCATAGGGTCTCCAAGGCTTCCTGCAACCCTTGTTCAATAAATAAGACGAAGAGACCGAAGAACCTTCGTATCTGCATCATAAACAATACGACCTCTCCCGGAATACTGATCCAGAATGGAGACAAAAAATTGTAGTCATAATAAAAGCGAGGAGGAGAATATTGGGATTGAAAATGTCAATTTCACTGTCACGGATTCGCAAATATCAGCGACAACGTGGATAGACTATTTCGATTTACCACTCCACCTGCAGATAAAAAAATGATTAAAATTACTAGTTTAATTGAAACTTTTTTTTCTGTACTTGCAAAAAGAACTGCTGCAAGAGTATGCAATGCAAGGATTCATGGCTTTAACACAATTTTTTCTCTTATTTCTTGTTTCAACATAATTTTTCGCAATGGAAAATAACCGATGTGGTGATTAGACTTAATAAGTTAGGAACTCCTAGTTAATGCATTCATAAAATAAATTGCTACTCAGAAAAAATTCATGCAAGTCATAATTTGTCTGAATATGGATTAGACTAATGAAGACAGCTCTTAAGAAAGTGGCTAGTCTTCACTTACTATGTACATTCCGGAAATTGACCGATTTATTAACATGACATTAAACTTTATTTATCGTTGCGCACACCATATTCCGGGTAATGCAGATTATTGAGGAAAAAAATTAGATTGTTCCCTTTGAAAGCTTCAATCGTTCCAAATATTAATAATTAATGATGATTAATGAATATTGATGAATCTCCAAACGAAAATCACTTTTTCTACAATAAAAGGTTTCTCGTGAAGTTTTTTTTTTAATTTCTATCGCTAATATCACTCGCCTAATAACACATTCCCACCCTGACGGAGGCTCTCGGGTACGACCCTCGTGTTCATCGAACGCAAAAACGACAGAAACAAATATCCCGCCAGGTTAACGAGTTCTAGACGCACCGCTTCACCGCGGTTTCTTGCGTAACCACTGCTATACACTTAGTGTCCATCTCTCATTCTCTCTCTCCATTGCTCGTTCACATTATTCACCGAACCGTTAGAATCGCTGAGCTTGCTGGATGAGACAAGAGCAAAGGAGAATGGGAAATATGAAATCCGATAGGAATTGTCGATAGCCGATATCGTCACGATACACCAAACACACGATGAATTCTATAGAATTCCACTTATGCGCCAGCTTAAATCCATTATTATTATACGAGCCATTCACACGTTTACTATTATGGTTGTTCCACTAGCCATCGTTGGCCATTGTTGCCCATTGTTGTTCAATATCAATCGAGTCCATGCCATAGATTACTCAGTGGATTCAAGGAGGAAATTAACTTAATAACCATTTTTCTTCCATTCATTCAATGGAATGCTATTATTGGACGACATTGAAAAATTCAGCTACTGACCCTTTCCCCCTTATCTCGAATTCTATAATTTAGTTTCAACAATTAACAGGAATTAAATTAATAGAAATTGCAGTTCAATGTGGACTACAGGAACTTTGTGATTAATTTTGTTTCAGCTGAAATACAAGAGACGGGTCTACAAGATGCTTCACCTCGACGAGAAGCAGCTCAAGGCGATGCACACGAGAACAAACCTGAGGAGGTTACTGGAGTATGTAGCCAATAGTCAAGTCGAGAAGATAGCTAAAATGTGTAGCAAGGGATTGGATCCTAATTTCCACTGCCAGGAAACTGGAGGTAAAGTACAATAACAGTTTAAACAAATGACATTGAACATTTATACCGAATGAAGTTATAAAATTACGCGAGTGTCCACTTCTTATCCCGGAAGCCATGGCATTACCCGTCAATAATTTCCATTCAATCATCATTCAATAACGAATCCCTCAAAATTGCTTCTGGAAACCAGAAATTACCGGAAATCGCTAATTTTCTCCAAGCATAATTATTCCAACATGAGCACAAGTTGGCGCCTGTTCGTTCTAACAGGTTTCATGGAAAACCCGATGCAGCGATGATTCATACTTTTACAGTTATTAAAAATAGAATTTAGTGCCGGTGGAATTCCGTTGAAATATTGAATAGATGAATTACCAATTAAAATGAACGTTTAATTTTCAGAAACTCCGTTGACCCTAGCGACAGCACTGAAAAAACCATCAAAAGTGATAATAGCTCTGGTTAACGGTGGTGCCCTATTGGACTATCGAACAAAAGAGGGTCTCACGGCGATGCACCGTGCCGTCGAGAGGAACAGCCTCGAGGCCGTTAAGACTCTACTTGAGCTCGGTGCAAGTCCAAATTACAAAGACACCAAAGGTCTAACTCCTCTCTACTACAGTGTCATTTATAAGACAGATCCAATGCTGTGTGAAACACTTCTCCATGATCATGCGACAATTGGTGCTCAGGATCTTCAGGGATGGCAGGAGGTTCATCAGGCATGCCGTAACAATCTCGTACAACACCTTGATCATCTTCTTTTTTACGGTGCCGACATGAACGCCCGCAATGCATCAGGAAATACACCGCTCCATGTGTGCGCTGTCAACAACACTGATGCATCTTGCATACGCCAGTTACTGTTCCGTGGAGCTCAAAAGGACAGCTTGAATTATGCGAATCAAACCCCCTACCAGGTTGCTGTAATTGCTGGTAACATGGAGCTGGCGGAAGTTATCAAGAATTATCAGCTTGAAGAAGTCGGTGAGTGATGAAACAAAAATAATCATTGATCATCAACAACTTTTTATTATCGTAGAGAACCATCGCGGTTCTTTTGTGCTTCAGCTTTGAATGTTACGTAGAATAGTTTTTACAGCCATTAATTATGAACGATTGAATATTACTGGGTGGCAAATGACTGAATTATTTTCAACCCAATGGATGGAACTGGTGGAGTTTCATAGCTTTCTTAAAAATAATTTCCGCTCAGAAAAAAAAAACAAGAATTTCGTGTTAATTTTTCAGTTAATCGATGTATTCTATATTCTAACTGTCCAGAACAACAGGAATTCATCCAAAAAATGATAACAGAAACAGTCGACTCTTGAATGACGAATAACAGAAAATAATGATAAGAATTCCGATCTCTTGAGGCATTATTTCCTTCAAAAATTTCATCACCTAGAGCAATTCTAAGCTCAGATGTCTAATCATCCCAACAAAATCCCCATAAAACAACAACAATATTTCCCTCGAGCCTCGAATTATCATTCTTCACCGTTGTACTCGAGTACAAAAGAATATACGAAAACAACCTCTAAATAATGCAATTGTACGTTACGGCAAATGCCGTTACTCGCGCTCCCTTTCAACGGTGCCCATCCTCCTTTCTAGCTTCACCGAGGAATCCTCCTTCTTCAACATCCTCACCCTGACGTTGACGTACGGAGACCCCAAGTATCTCCGTAGATACCTTTTAACCGATACTCGAGGGCATTCCACCTCCTTACCTCAGGGTCAATTTACTTTTTCACTGTAATAAACTACATATCCTCTGCATGCATCAGAAAGCTTGGGCATGAAAGCACGTGCACGCTTTTAGCATACTCGTTAGATGTTCATTAGAGCGTTTTATCCTAATTGAACTTCAGTTAAAAACGTTTTGACTCCGTTCTTCATTCCGAAAAATAGAAAATAAGTGAACATATCCAACGAAGAATCTAATACGGAGATCCTGACGCAATGAGCCGGTTACCCTCGAAGCTATTTCGATCGATACCAATCGATACCTGATATCTAATGTTTTGGTGGTGATGGTTGGGTTACACGTCATTTCCATAGTTAATGAGCAATCTTAAAATGATGCAAATGTATCTTTAATAATTCAAAGAATGCGATGTATATATGTTGATAACAAAGGGATAAAGAGGCAACGGAAAATCCAGTGAGATAAAGACTAATAATAAGAATAATTTCCTCCGCCCCTGTACCTACCCCAAGCCCCCGTATACATTGCTAGCATTGTATCCTCTTTGATAAAACATTAATAATAGTAATAATGATGATGACAACGTAAAAACCGCGTACGAGACTGTGGGATATGTGTGTGTGGGTGGGTGTGTGTGTGTGTGCTTCACCGCTTCGTAAATAAAAGCCACTAACAGAGTAATTTATCGTCGTTGTGCTAATGATACGTTAATATTGATTACCATTATATATTTTTGTATGACAACACGCGTCGGTGTGCGTGGGTAATTCTTTTTATTTACTTATTCGTTTATCTTGTTTTTCATTTTTCCCTGAGTCTTGGAGTGTACGTAGTATTGATTACCTTGAGTACAAGTAAATGTGATAAATAAAGAGATGAGGAGGTAGAGAGGGAGAGAGAGAAAGAGAGAGAGAGAAGTGACGGAAATAAAAAAAGGCAACATGCAAGTGAGAATGGGTGATAAATTAATGTGTGTGTGATATATTGAGAGAGGTCAAATAGTCTGAATGTCAAGGCGCCAGGTATATCGATCAATTCGATTAAATATTCCAACGAAATACCAGGCAAATTGTCAAGCCAAGTGACTAAGCAAGTACTTCCATCCCTTTGTAAGGCTATAAGGCTAAGTAATCCTTTATTTACTTACCCTTGCAACCTCGAATTTTACAGTACCATTTAAAGGACCACCACGCTACAACCCGAAGAGACGATCAGTTGCATTTGGTGGAATGACAACAAGCTGTTCAGCAAGTAATTTGGGGACACTCACGAGGATACCCTCGGCCATTGACACACCCTGTGGTACATTAACAAGAACAATATCTGTTGATCAGTACTCATCATCAGCAACACTCAGTAGACTGCCCATTAGTGAAATAAGCAATACCAGCAGTTTGAGTAGGACAACCTCCACTGATAATCGTAACTCATGTGCATCGATCAGTCGAGTTATCGAGCATTATGCTGGAATGAGCGAAACACATCACAGCAGTTTAAATCGTGTACCGTCCATTGAATCAAACCGACCTGAATGTGGAAATTTACAGAGAATACCGTCCGAACAGCAGTTATCAGGGGTTAAGGGACATCAGTTGAATACAGGGATCAGCAGAAATGAACATCTGCAAAATAATATAAATCGATTGCCGTCCGAATATCAAACGCCAGCATTGAGGGATCCAAATCCGAGGTAAGCATGAAATGTCTTTGCCGAAGAGCTTTAAAAAATGAGGAAATAGAGGCAGCAATTGAATCCGATTAATGGTCAAGTTAAAGAGGAAAATCGAGTATTTCACATATCGCATTTTAATTATCATTGTTACTGATGACCCAAATTGGATCAATCGGCGTACCGTATCTGTGTTATTTCCAGTTGATAAAAAAATCATGATTAGATTGACGGGTTAGCTAGTCCATTCGGCAAAGGCACTTTACGCTTTGCCTCTTGTTGACACATATCATCAACGATTAAATCACCTTTCAAGATCACCAAATGTCGAGCACTATCAAAACTTGAGAATAGAGGGTTTGACGAGACTCCAGGAGCATCGTATCGAGCTTCAGCACAGACTTGATATCCACGGTCGTACCATGGATATGCCACCGTCACCATCTCCAAGCAGTAGAAGTCTAGCACCATTCAGCTCAGCCAGCTCCAGCATGTCTGAAGGTAGCAATCAGCCGTCCGGTGAGGACTCTGCCAGCATCGTCACAGGTACACACAAGTCCTTTATTCATTTTTTTTTTTCAATTAAAAACAGAATAACTTGGTTGGGATTAAATGAACAGAGTACAACGTGATGTGCTGGAGGATGTCGTAACCATCACCACCAAACGAGCGAGTACCATGATAACTTTTTGAATATTTATAACAGAGTGTGATCGACATTAACTATTTATCAATGGGATGTTGTGGTGATTATATGTTTCCAGTTAATATCGCGTTCATTTCTCATTTTCATCTTCAGTGTTGCCCTGCGTCATACGTGTCTTAGACCTTTTTTTATCATCAATGTTTCGTTATTTCAAAGGATTATTAGTACTCTTCTTTCTCATAGATCTATGCTACTTTCATATTCCTCATAATTCATCACTGGTCATCTATCAAGATAAATGATAAAATCATTAGTCAGAAATGATTAAATACGATATTCATTGATCCATTATAACTCAAGGCTGTTTAAAGCATGTTTACGCAGTATTCCATGCAGAATTAAATTAGCCATTTATTTATTCATCTAATCATGAGTTTTCGCGTTTTTAGAGTTGGGTTTAGCCCAATGTGAAGCCATCGTGCAAAAACAGTCTCCGATTACGTTAAAATAATAAATTTACTCGAGTTTGCTTAATACTTTCTTCATAACCCTTGATATTATATTATTATTTTCTACCCCCCATCATTATTATTCTTTAAATAAATTTATTGATTTATCCCCTTTTTACATTGTAGATAAAAGCCTGGGCGACACAGCATCGGACGTCATTAGCGACAGCTCGGGTGTCGGTACATCGCAGTCAGACACGACAAACTCACTCTCCATTCCTGGGACAACGGTTGTCTGCGTTGAGAGTTATAGCAGTGGAATTGCTGGACATCTGGCCATCAACCAGGGCGACATTCTTGAAGGTAAAATTCATTCAGTGGAAAAAGACTATTAATTCCTGTAATTCTTATTGAAAGGTGGAAAGGTATAGAATAAGTTGGAGTACAATTCCCTGTAACCGTTGTTCGATCCGCGACATCGATTCCAGCAATTTTAATCACTGTAATTTGCCGAGTTGATATTTCAATGGTATAAAAAAAAAATTTTTCTTCCTCCCTATTTTTCTATCAGTCACTGGAGCGACAGATTGTGGACTGCTGGAGGGCGTGCTCCGGGGTCAAGGGACAGGACTATTTCCCGCTCATTGCGTCCAAGAAGTGAGGCTTCGACATACCAATATTCCATTGGGCCACCAGCTGGCCCGTGAGGGTCGCAACAGAGTCCTGGGACGAAGGGAGTCCCAGCACAAATATTTCGCCACGGCGCCGAGATTAAAGAAGCCGTAAGTAAAATAATTATGTTTAATTCACATTACGGCGCGCTATTAGGCATTGTATGGAATTTTAGTATAACAAATCGCGAAAATACGCACGAAGGGGAATATATTAATTTACGATGTGTATTAAATGAATTTTAATTACAAAAATTGGAGGCAGTAATAATTTTTAAACTCAATTGAAACTCAGCTGAATTTCCTATGATTATGAAAGGAGTACTTAGAAATCCACAAAAATTAAAATTTCTATCCTCTACAGAGTTTCGATGTGCAGTGTGACATCGGAACCCCGCACGGTAATCCTCCACCGTTCTAGAAAGGGATTCGGTTTCATTTTACGCGGTGCAAAAACGACACCATCAAATTTCCTAGGACTAACCCCAGCAGCTCAGTACCTCGACGACGTCAGTCCCGGAGGTGTTGCTGACTTGGCAGGCCTTCGCAAGGGCGATTTTTTAATACAAATAAATAGCGAAGATGTGACGACAGCTTCTCACGAACATGTAGTTGATCTAATAAGAAAATCAGGGGAATTAGTGAGAATGACAGTAGTCTCTCCAGTGGTGAGTCTTCCAAATTCACAATCGGCAGCAGCTCTGCCGACTAGTCAACCAAATCAAAGGCAGTACGCAACATTGCCAAGAAAAGGTAGCAATAATGTGCCGATGAGTGGTACCCTGGGCCGGTCTCCAGCCCCAATGCCACCAAGAAGAGATCCTAAGACAACTCTGAGTGTTGGACGAGCTCGTGCACGTTCCATGGTGGCAGGACTTGAGGGTGGGGGAGAAAAGGATGACCGAGATGATATTGGTTCGACTGGAGGTAAATCCAGCAGCGCTGAATCCATTCACATGCCTCAGGGCACATCAACAGGACCAAATACTGGGCAAAATACGCCTGTTCAGCCCAGAACTGCCAGCATTAGATCTCGCCCCACATCCAGCAGAATTACAGCTGCTGAACTTCAGGTAAGTAAATTGAATAATTAGTCAATGGAATATGATATGAATTCTTTCAACGGATCAACTCAGTGAAATTTGGCACGAACACGTGATATGCGCTTATCCATTCATCCGCAATGTTCACGAATGTTCGCCTCGTGCACGGATATTTGAGACTCGAGCATCTGCATTGCTTCGATTACAGGAATTGTTTCAACGGCAGCAGGGAAGTGTCACCAGCCAGTATGGCAACACCATGAGTTCTCACTTTCAGAGTGGCACGACTACCAAGTCACATCCGTCATCACCAGCTAAAACGGGAAGGGTCTACGCTAGCGTCGCTGAGATGAAACGAAAGGGCAAAGTAAGATTCTAAGAGCGTTGAATTTTTTTTATTTTTTATATCTATTGTTGACTGGAGGTGTTCAGGGAGGAATTTCGGCCAATGGTTTATAATCCTTTGATCACTCATAATCCGTACTTCTGTCTTTCATTTTTTTTCACCAATTTAATACGAGAAACATATCAAATCTTTGAATTCAAGCGAAGTAGCGAAAATTTCATGAATTCCTTTTGCGAATCTAATTTTACTCGTCAGAGATAACTTTAGTCTGATAATAAAGTTTCTCTTGCAGCGCAAGCCATAATTCTCAACATCTTTTACACGGGGCAATTCGCATCCTAAGAATTGTAGGACTGCCACAGGCGAGACTATTTATTTGCGACATATTTAAAATTCAAACAACTATATTTTTCAAACAAAGGCAATCTGCTTCCGTGAGTTTTCACCATAAATCAAATTATTTCCATAAATTTACACAATAAAACAAACTCTGCACTCCCTATCGGTTGTTTTTACCACTTTCATTGGTCATTTAAGTGTCAGTGAACGAATAAAAATAAATTAGAAGAGTGGTAAAACGAGAGACGTTGAATATAAAATTATCGTTAGTTGCCTGATTATCGGGGGACTAATCTTTTACAGAAAAAAATCGAGAAATCTTTTTTATAGGCAATAAAATCTACGAACAAGGCTTCTTGATGATTCCTGGAAATAGTTATTACCCAGATAATTCAACATTCAACAAACTAAGTTATTCTAACTCATAATTGTTTCATTGCCTCTATACGAACTCAAAGTGTAAATCAATTAAAGGATATGTCGAGTTTTAACATTCACCCACTTTGGCTAGCGTTTCCCATGGTTTCCCCACATCGTCGGTCGCATTGAAAAAAAATACACTCCTCCATATTCAATCGAGAAATTACTATTTAATTTATTACTCAGCGAAATTTTTAATACCAACTGAAAATTATAATTGATTAGTGAGAATATCAAAATGTGAAAACCAATTAGTGATATGAGTGCTCAAAGTGTATGAAACATTCTATTAGATTACTACCTTCACATTTCATTCTTTCTGTTGGTGTTGGTAACGATAATTCGCTAATTGTTGATAATACTATACAATGAAGTCTGTACAATGCTTGGCAGGAGAAGGTTTTCCCATATCGCCTTCTATTTGAGAATAATTCTATTTTATAAACAGCGGAAAATCCAGCAATAATTGCTGACTAATAGACGCTCTTAGGCTCTCAAAGAACGACTAGGTTTTTTTTTATGGAAAATGATGTGCACGTTACTCTGGTAATGGTTCGCCTGTCTGCATGTTTTGTTATAGTGCTCACGAAAATCCAGGGTTTACGACACGATTCAGCTCAATTATGGCCAGAAGGAGGAGGACTACTTGTATTACTGATTGAATTATTCATTGTAAATTTACAGAGCCTCAGAATTCTTAGAATGATACATCAGGTGACTAGTGAACAGAAACATAAATGAATGGAGAGTGTAGATACGTGTGAGAAATTTGTATTGACTTGTCCGAAAATAATTTTCATAGGAATTCACATAGAAGTTGTAGATATTTGCCATAGAGAAACATTTCTACATCTTGAATTCTTGTATAAACCGAAATTCCATTCCAAATCCATCAGAATGTCTATAAATGTCATCATTCCATGTAATTTCCTGTCATATTTTCTGGAAGAAGCCTTTAAACAAATTTTTCATGCGTAATACCAAGAACTTCAGAAGATCGAATCTTAACACAATTGCAATTATACACGATGGCTTATCCTTCACGCTTCGTGTAACCACTGACTTTGAAAGATTAAAAAAAAGACATTCAACTAAACCTCATCCTCATCAAAATGACACACACCTGGAAAAAAAAACAGATTATTTATAATGGCAGATCCACAAAAAGAGCACGCAATACTCGTGAAGTGTTACACGTAGAGAAGAATGATCAATTAATATGGAAATGCAATTAATTTACAGTCAAGCTCCAGAGTGCGCTTCTTCGGTGGTCTGGGCGGGGGTTCTGATCTCCATCGCGACTTCCACAGCACTCCAGATCTTAATATTCAAGGACAATCGGCAGTACTTGCTCCTAAGGGGCATCGCAGTCAGGAGGATGTGAATGCTCTCGGTGGTAGGAATGGTTTACCACCACCCAATCATCCTCCACCACCTCCACCAGTCGGTCAAGTTATTAAAGTCAATATTGGTGCCAATGTACCAGATGTTGTTACTCCAGCCTCAGTGTATGATAACATGGCGCATATACAACAAGTCAAAGGTATTCCTCTCTATTCCATATACTTCTAACTAATTACACTTCTATAATGAAATTGCATAGATTAAACTGAAAATCCGAGCACACGCTCTTCACCACAACATTTCTACCTGAAACATTCAAAGAACTTTTCCAGTAATTCTCAAATCTCTCAACAAAAACTGTTTCAAAAGTGAAAATAAATGATCAACACTTGGAAAGTGCGAATAGCGTGGCGAAATGCCATTGGTATTAGTTGGCTACTCTAAAAGCCCTATCAGAACATAACTTTAACATCCCACGAGTAATATTCTCTGTGTCCCCATTAGAATTGGCCGCAGCATCACTGGAGAGTAATTACGGTGTAATGTCGAGCTTCCGCCCCTCAAACAGTGCAAAACTCTACGCCTCCCCGGAAGACATGAAAACCGTTGGCTATCGCTCGCACAGTTTGCCAGTGAATTCATCGAGATCGCATCTCCGAAAGTCCCACAGTCTCCGAACTCCCAATAATACGACATTCAAACCATCGAATGGCCAACAACAGGCAAATGGTGTGGGTAGTTCAAACAATGGCTCAATGAATGGCAACACGGGTAATCAGTACGCCCAACCATTAAAGACCAATCGAAGCCACAGTATGACAGGTGGTCGTGAATCAAAGAAAAAAACAATCTCCACAAGTTCATCTGCCACTAATCTGTCAGGCGCAGCTGTACCCCCAATCCCTGAGCCCGACTACAGTCTGTCAGAGTCTGAAAACGATGAGGATGACGAGGAGTTTGAAATGGGAGAGGCAGAAATAGCCAAGGAACTCGAAAAAGCAGCAGCACGCGAGAAATTAGAGTCAACAAGGGAAACCTCTGGGAATTCTAATGCATCTGGAAGTAGCTCATCAGGCAGCAGTTCCCTCCCTCACTCATTCAGTGTCGAAGAAATTCAAAAAGTCAGAACTCAGTTAAAATCCTCGAAGAGTCATCCCAATGAATTTCTCCTGAGCCAACAGACTCAGCAATTAGTGGAAGACGGTGACAACAGCTCGAGTGGTGTGAGCTCTGATCAGGATGTACCAGTTGGCCCTCCAACAGGCTTCGATGATACATCGAGAAATGATAATGCCCAGCCAATAGTCACTGACAAGGAGAACAACTCTAAACGAATGAATTACAGCAGTGGAATGCTCACGAGGCATGCCGTTAGTCTTGCCCAATTACCACCCCCCATTGAAGCTGACACTGAAGATCAGAATAACGATTTATTCGTACCACCACCACCCGAATTTAATGCCGGACCATCCGGCAATGGGGATAATGAGCTTGTTTTTGCACCACCCCCACAATTCTCTGATAATCGACAGCAGCAAAATCGTGTTAAAATTATTGGAGCGATACCAAAGGTCGGGAACAATCAGGTCAAACCACCCACGGGACGTTTGCACAGCCAGTAAACAACTGAAATACAAAAAATCAGTGCGTAGAATCTATATTTTTACTCCCTTCCATTGACTTTCATTCACCAATTGAGACATTGAAAAATTACTCTTCGGTCAATCCGGCCTAAATAAACCGAAAAAAAATAATGGAGAAACCATTAACTATCATGCGTAGCTCTAAGTCATTATTGATCCATTCAGTAACGAAAAATGCGCATGATCGTCTCATAAGTACGTGAGTAAAATAAGATACTTGTTTTGTAATTCTTCCGTTCTTTTTTCTATATTTCTACCCAAATCAATACCTTCTTAATCACTGTAATATTGGAAACAAGAGTAGTGCACTTGTATTTATTATTGAGAACGAAGAAGAAATGAAAGAAGATGCTGGAAAAAAAATGGAGTTCTTATTAATATCAGTGTAGCTTGATAATCAGTGTTGTTAAAAAAAAATAAAACAGAAAAAATGAGTAAAATACAGGTGGAGCTGTGCAGAGTCCCAATGATTGACTTTCCACCACTGTGTCCTAGCTTCATCGATGATTTGTCGATTAAACGTATCAACAACTCACGTTGCATCCTCTTTTAAGTAATTTACATTAATTTTCTTGTAACTAGAATACTACTACTGCTCAAAAGCCTAATGTAAATCTACTCACAAAGTCATTAGAGATTGTTGATAATTTTAACAATGTATTATTAGTTCTTATTAGTTTGTTATAAGTTGCAATTGATACGAGAAACGAAGATAATCGCGAATGAATGTTGGCAAATAATAATGATGAGAAAATTGCACCCACCATAATCGACTTGTAAGATAGATCGTATTCCTTCCATTTCTCGATAATGAAAGCAACCGGGCATCTCTGGGAAACTGAGGTTTTAGATATTCCCAATTGTTTATCGACTTTAAATGATAAATTATAAACAAACAAAAGAATTGAACGATCAAGATATGTCTCGAAAGTGTTATCATTAAGATGTTCTTACCGCAATTCATTTTATTGTATATAAAGACAGATATTTCCTGTGGCTATCGTGGGTGATATTTTTTCGGTGTAGAATGATTTTCTTTTCTGAAATAAGGAGAGTAAGCTGAAACCTCTAGGCTTTCCCTCCCGATAACAGTATAACTACAATTGTATATATAACCATTGCTACATATTTGAAATATCGATTTTCATTAATTAGAAAAAAAATAGTTGTTAAGAGATAATAAATGATGAAAATGTTTCCATTAAACAACGTCCTTCCTAATGAAATCGTTTCTTAATGCCTTTTGCAAAAATGACAAGTAAAAAAGATAAACAAATACAATATGAATGATGAATCATTGAATTTAAATATTTACACAAAGTACCCGAGTATTAAAGTAAGTCGCTGCGCATGAGAACTCGTTGTAGAATTCATTCAAAGATAGATGTCGATATAGAAATACTTGATGCAACAGCAAAATAAAAAAAAAACATTGTAATTTAATTCTAGAATCAAATTCTTCCCAGTCACGTCAGTATACATCACCAAAAGCTATGAGAAGAAAAATAAAATGATACATAAATGTATTAAAATCACTTCCAGGTAATCTGTAGTTACTTCAGTTTTTCCTTTTATTTCGCTCGTTTGTGATTACTCCGAGCTCTATTGTGCGATAGCGAGATGAAAAATATATAGTTGCAACATTCCTGCCAAAAGTATAATGTAATAATAATATATCGAAATTGAAAAAGAGACAAAACGTTAAAAAATGATAACACGTGAAAATGAACTTATACTGTATCAATATCATTTTTTTGTCAAATGTTTTTTTTTCAAAATTCCACATTACACCATTAATAGGAAATAAAAGGTAAAAAAAATCGGTTCCCCATATAGAATTCAATATACTACATTATAAATATACATAGGCAAATGAATGTTTGAAACGTTGAACAAAAAAAAACTAATTGAAAACAATTTGATAAATGAATGCGAGATATACAAGTGAAAATCTATTTATATGAAGCACTCGTTCTTTTATTTGGATTTCTTATCAGCTAAATATACGAATTTACAAAGTTTTTTTCGTTTTGTACAATTGTTCACCTCGTTTTACTACTTTTTGAGGTAGGTATACCAGTAATCATAAATGAGATAAATTACCACATGAATAACGACATCGTCATGACGTAAATTGATCTCTTGGATTGACGAACAATTAAAAATCACACCAGAATTCATCATGAATACTCAATACGAATATTATAATCACGTAAATCCATACCTCCGTACCGTACCTCCTATTCTTTCCAATTAAAATGACTGTTAATGTCTTTTGTATCATAGTTGATTGTACTGTGCATTACGTGATAAATGCATTTTTGGACGATGAATAATAACTGATCATGTTCACGTTTTACTATTTATTTATTCATTCATTTTTATTCTTCCTAAATACTTTCTAATTATAAGCGTATTTCTGGAGAGCCTGGAGATGGACTAGGAGCATGTCTTTCTGTGGACCGAGGGCTATGAATATCCAAGCTACAACAGCTAATGCGTCCTTCGCAAGGATTATCGTTTTCCAGGTGATTAATTCATCGGAAGTGATGATTACTGTGCTATTTTCCTATGAATTAAATGACGCGTCTTTTAATTCAAATAAGGTACTTATGTGGATAGATTAATGATCTCACCTCGACCATTCCCGTGTCGTTGCTCATTCGATAATGCAATAATGTTAGTTTGTCGTCAAACTTCAGAGTCACTTGATGTAGACAGAAGACTGTAATATACAAGGGAATCGCTAAAAATGGTTTGCAATGATTTATATAGATTTCTCGGAAGTGATCCCACTCCATACGCGCCAGATCAAACCTGGTGGATAAAATAGAGAAAATTATAAAAATATTCTGGCTACACATTCTATATTTTCCGAATAATGAAACATACTTATCAAATGCGGAGACAATACTCATGGCAACGAGAAACGAAAACAAATTCGTATAAATTTCCCCTATTATGGAATAATCGATGACGGATTCGCGGAACAATTCCGAAAGCGTGTGCATCTGTAGGAAAGTCAAAAATTAAATGACTGGAACAATTTTGATTCGTAATAATCATAAAGTCCGTGATAATCTTTCTACACCCACGAAAAGAAAGTGCATAAGTGCCATTCCAGCGAGAAGACCTTGATAAATTAGCCCTGCGTTCCGCCATGCCTTTTGCGCCAATATCGCGACTTTTATCGGATGTGTAATAGCTCCCCCAGTATCAGGATCCCGTCGACCTCGGGCAATACGATCTCCAGGAATCTTGACTGCACTGAAGCCATTTCTTCCTTGCACATAAATCGTATCTGTAGTTAACTGTGGAAGAGGCGCTGATTCTTCATACTGGAGACGTGCATTCTCCTGAGATTTCCTCAGTATCTCTGTAATCGGCAATTCATCTCTAACATCAGTGGAATCATCTAACAACAGTAAAAGGATACCTCTGAATAGACCAGAAAATTTCGATAAATCGTTGATTCATCTGAAGAAATAAATCCCTATCGTAATTGTATTTAGTCGAAAAACCCACCAAAAAAAATCGACATTTCGATTTTTGAAATAATTTATTATACATTATTTATGCTTGATTTATCGTTTTGATGGACATACCTTTGCTACGAATTTTTCGCCTCCTCTTCTTCTTACTACCAGCACTGGCACTGCTATCAGTTTGATTCCTCGACGTTCTCATTGACTTCAAAGTATCCCTATCCTCATCAGGGTTCTCTTCATGGCTTTCCCCAGCCTTCGAAATACTTTTTTCTTCTCTGTGCACTCGTCTTTTCGATTTTCGGCGTTTGCCCTGGTTCGATGGAGTTTCATACCTCTCCTCGATTTCGCCTGCGAGATCAGAACGATCGGGCGGATTTTCGTCTGATCTCTCTGGATCAGTTGAGCCTCCTCTGATGTAGTTGGAGATCGCAGTCTTGTTATTATCTTCCTCACTATCACTGTCATTTCGCAAGCTCCTAACGTGTCGCGGCAATTTCCTGTTTGTCGATCTCGATTTAGACCCTCGTATTTCTTCACGATTGCCCCGAGGGTTCGGGGATTCAATGTTGAAACTGTCGTCCGGTGTTTTATCTTGATTTATGTGACCCCTGCTTGGTTTACGATCCTCAGATCTCTTTCTGTAGTCCATTCATATGAAGGGATTTTGTTGACTATTGTACAGACAATGCACTGCCGTTGCAATGTGATGAAAGCCTGCACTAGCAACTGCATGTCTATTTCTTAGCAACCGATAGGGCTGTTTGTTGTGGTGAAGAATCTACTTGACGACGGAATTTATAACATTGACATTGAGGGGTACTGAAGGTTTGAGGAATCACACAATCGATTAATTCACTCGGTTATTATTAATCAATCTAAGTTGGTAAAATGATGAAAAAATGTTCGTTAACTGTATAAATTGTTTAAATTTATTAATATTTGTATAATATAGTATCTATTCACTAATTACAAATGATCCAAGAGTGAATAATTGAATCGCGAATTGCTATGGTTCAATCCATTCGATTAAAAAACAAATGCATTGCTGGATTTTCATAAAATACAATCTCATACATTAGAACGTTTCTCACAAGCATGAATATTTTCAATTGTATTTGTACGATTGTTTGTTTCAGATATGTACTGGTCAGTACCTATTGTATTTCCAATACTCTATTTATTGCGTTTTCGTAATAATATTCGCAATTACTTCCTATCCATAATTGATGCAGTGATTAATATTAAATATGACGATATATAGGTACACTAGCGGTTCAAAGCGATTCGTTCATAATCGGATGTGTAATGGATTCAGTAATGCAGAAATTTATGCAGTTGTTCCTGCAATTTTTATTCTTTGTCATAATCCTGTAGTCAGATAAAAAGAATTTTCAATATAGCAGGAATTGCCATTTGTCGTACTATAGTAAACTCTCGTTAGCTACGGAAAAATACGATTTTTAAAATTTTGATTTTGTCGCCTGATCTTTAAGTTTAACGCAAGAAAATTCACGGAACCGGATTGTTAACGGGAGTCCACTGTACGTATGAAATAACTGGTAATGACTAATGAGCAAAATAAAGAGAACTGTTGCAGTTGGTAAACGATCCTGAATTATTATAAAAAGTCAGAAGTAGTTGATTGAAAATAGCATAGTAGAAGATTTCTCACATAAAACATTTGATTATAAATTTTCATGATTCAACATCAGTTTTGTAAAAAAGATACTAACAAACCGTAAAACAATTTTTTTAACTCTTCGAAGAGAAATAGTCCTATCGCGAATTAACGAATGTAGGGGCCGTAAAAAAAGCAAAATAAACAATTGATTTTGCTCCACCTTTTTCAACATTAGGTCCAATTAATTTATATTCACTATCAATGATCGGGTGTTGTACAGAAAAATGTCAAATGTACAATTTAACTCGTTCCGAAGGGAATAATTATATTCTCATGATCTTCAATTTGTTCGATATGTGATACGAAATCGAAATCTCAGACACCGAAAAAGTCAATAATGCATCGGTCTAATACAAAAACTGCTATTATAAAAATAAAATTATATATTCTATACATAAATTTATGAACGTATATTTTTCTATATACATGTGTATATCGCATGCTAATCATATGTTCAATATACATAAAAATTTAGATATATCTGTTTCAATTTATTTACATGATAATAATGGCATAAAAATTTTCCTTACGCGTTTAAAAATTTAATAACTCAGCATTCGAATGACGAAAAGCCATACTATTCGTCACGCGATTAAATCGTCCTGAAAAAAAATGCTTTTTTTGTATATTTCGTTTTCTCTGTCACGCAATTAAACTCAATGAATATATGCATTTTATTTCCCAGCAGGGGACAGAGGAAATGTTGCGAAATTGATTGAACAGTTCAGGCCTGAATTCGTTAAATGTAACAAGTCGATGTTTCATATTATGTTGAGTACGAAAATAAGTTTTACAAATGATAAAGTTGAAGAATTTAACGAAACAGATATTTTACATTTTTTTAATAAATAATTGACTTGTCCATCATGTATTGCTTATTAAAATAGCATGAAAAATTAATAGACATTTTTTGCATAAGCTCTAATCAATTTGCATCAATAAACACGTCCGAAACCCTAACTATTCCCTTAATGCGATAAACTTCCCTTGATATTTCTCCATATTTCAGAGATAAATTAGTAATCAACGAAAATGTCAAACACGATTCATTACATTTCAACTTTTCATTACAAAATAGTTTTTCTCAGTGAAGAAGCTTAGCTGCTCCCCATTTGCAAGAGCCAAGTACAACAATCTCCAAAAATTCGTTGCACAATAATCGACAAATACGATTCAAATTTCGAGTTCACGTAGAAAAAAATGCTCATGATAAAATACTCACCAAAAACTTGTAGAAGCAAAAATGCATTTGCTTTTTCCAACTGTATCACACGTCCGTATCTTAAAAATATGGTTTTTGGTCCATTACAAAATATTGCTATTCAATTTTAGTAAAAATGTGACATTTCAAGTCATAAAGAGCATCATTCATTTAGAAAGGCGTTTCCAGAAAAATTGATTAAAATACAATGCACTCAACATTTCTTTTATCTCTGGAGAAAATACTGCGATTGTGGAAGAGGAAGGGACAAATGAAGGAAAACAGCCGTTTAGGACATTTCGTCTGTCCGTTTTCGCTCTTCCTCCACACGCTGCCTCGTGCGATTGAAGGCCTCAGTTTTCAGAAAATCGACAGTTTTGTAGACTGTTGAGTTTGGTGGTGACTGAGCAGGTGGTAATGCCGCATTTGCAAAATTCTCAGTTGCACCGAGATCCAAGTCTAGATACTGGAGTACTACTAAACGTCGATTGGACGCAGGAATAAAAGTGTTGTGATCCTGGTAGTAATAAATTTCCTCCTTGTCATCTTGCATATTGTTGTCCTCGTCGGAAGTCGAGTGATGTCTGTTTCCATGTCCATGAGAAGGTGGAGTTGGACTTGGAGCTGCTCGCAATTTGCTTCTCCCTGGAGGTGATGCCAACTGCAGAGGTCCTGTGTATAGATGTGTATGATTGATGGATTATATGGAGAAAAATTGGAATTTAACCGATAGATAAAGCATGAGACTAAAATACGTTACCATCAATAACAGGTTTGCTGGAAGCTGGTTTCAACTTTCGATTGATGCAAGGTGGTTCAGCAGGTGAATGCTCAGCTGAACTCATATCCGGCATATTGAGAATAGGTCCTGGTGACGGTTCATTACTAATTATGGAAGTTGAATCACTCGTCTTCCTACCAGGCTTCAATTGTCTGTAAACAACTGGTGGTTGAGTAGCAGTACTTGCTGCATTACTGGAGGAATCCCTGATGAGTGGACTGGGAAGATTTGAGTACGTTGCAGTGGTAGAGCTCTCAGAGTGTGGACTAGAGGGCTCATCGTCATGGAAATCATATCGAAAGATTCTGTCATCGACAGTCGATGGAGCAGCATTGCTGTAGCAGTGTCTCGAAGGTCGCCCAGAAGTTCCAGTGGATTCACTCATTCCAGGCTGATGAGATCGTGGAAAATCGTACGTTTCATCCGTAACAACAGCAGTGGCAGGTGTCGTAGGTGCTGATGTACCTGGGGTTGCTGGAGTATTTGGTTTTGAACTCTCAGTAGAGCCATCAAGATTCAAATAATTATGTCCTGGATTTTCTGGAAGCATATGAAGTGGCTTGGGTGGTCTCGGAGGCACTGGAAATGTCTCGTCAGGTGGTGGAGCGGCTGAATCAACAATTCTCAATTTTCCAAAACGTTTTCTCACACTCCACGAACCAATTTCCGCGTCTCCAGAGCTTTGAGAGGGTCGCGATTCCCCGGAAGACGGAAATGTCTCCCAGTTGACACTCGGAACTGGTGCTGTCCACTCATCATCAGTGAAAACACTCTCAGCATCTGTTGTTGGTGATCTTGGTGGAGATGGGGCTAATCTTCGAGGTGCATCATAATGTTCTGGTCCCTGACCCATTCCCGAACTTAGAGAGCTCGTATCGTTTAATCTCTTTCCTGATATGCACTCACTTATCGGTATGTATGGACCTGAGATTGTACTCGTTGGAGATATTGGTGGTGATTCTTGGGACTCGAAAGGAAATAACTGTTGTTCCTCGTCCTGGGTGTACGCTTTTAAACTACACACTTGACAAACAGCATCCACCCATTTGTTCATGTCTGCTTCGGATTCTGCCACCAAGTAGTAAATTCTCTTTGGTGTTTTAATATTGAACATGTATTGGTACTTTTGTTTGCGATTTTCAAATCTTAAACCAGCATCAACCTAATCATACAGGACGATAATTAGGACTTTGTCAGTTACTTTCAATGTTTTGGCAATTTTCAATACTTTCGAATTTGCAAGAAATAATGGAAAACACGAAATATTCCACTACCGTACTATTAAAAAATTGACGTTCAGGCATTTACTACGCTTCAGTGCAATAGTCAAATTTTTCCTCGACTTTTCCACTAGATATTTTCTATAGTGAGATGCTTTAATAATTGATAACACGAGGAAAAGTCGGTTCTCGTGTTAGATTTGATCACTTCCCTTTAAAGTTTCTTTCAATTCTGTCTTTCAATTCAAGAGCTGTAGCTAGAATTCTCCTGAATCATAATAAGGTGAAGGACCTCTTATCATACATCAATATCTTGCGATCTGACAAAGGCGACTGAAAAACTTCCCATCACTCCCCTCCATTATTAAGAATCCTTTATTATGAAAAACCTCAACTCTTCTGTTAATCCAAATTTGTTCCATTCTCCTCGCCAATTTCACACGTATAAGTTAATTAATGAAAAAGTCATTCACAGACGCAAATACACGAGTGAACAATGATAACTTTCTAGGACTCCAAAGTCCATTTTTGTGACATTCAAGTCGAATGCGCTATTTCAAATTTGTTACAATCCCTTTGTCACCCATATTAAACCTTGATCACAATCACACAAAAATTCGATACTAAGGAACATAAACTAGCTAATCACATACCTGTTCGCACTGATCGAGATCGATATGTCCCTTGAGTTTCCTGCATCTTCGATCAGTATAATACTCCAGAAAATACTGTCCAGGCAATTCTCCACTGTGTCGCAGGGCAAACCATCGTTTTCGCCATCTCTGCAACCGAAAAATGATAAAGTAAGCCCAATAAATTAATGAACAGGAACAGGATGTAATGCAGGCAATAGGAATTGAGGTTAGAACATTAGGAAGATCATCTCTGACAGGAGGAAATGAATTTTGATGAGTGTTACTGGAATCTTACTAATGGCTATGATTCAGGGCTAATGATCATAGGTATAATCATAACATAAAGTAGACTGGACATGAATAAACTAATAATGAATGTACCAGAGTAATACACACCGCTCGCCAGCGTTTGGTAGGTGGTGATTTAATGAGCCAACCCTCGTGAACTATTTCCTGGGATGTTTTCAGCACCTCCATGCTCTTTGTATTGTGTATGACTTAATAAATTAATCTCAAGCATACATTGACCCATGACAGCTCACTGGATGACGGGAACATCTTCATGACCACAATACTCTTATCAATTTTGGCATGTCACTGTCAGATATCCATCAATATTTCACTGATCAGGCAGCGATGAACATGAAAATATCATCCGCGTCATGCGTGATATCAAGACCCGAGTTACCATCCGACGTGTACTGTATGATACCCCCGTAACCACTGGTTTATTTTCTACTTTGTCATGTAGGGAATGGTATACATATTTACTTCAATTGCCTGTGCCAATTGGTGTTATTGTGGGGAAATATGAGTAACCAGTCGTCAGCCAAAGGCAACTAGATTTGATGATGTGGCGCATGCGCAATATTCCACCGAATGGCGGCGTTAGATTCGGCTATTTCATTGGGGTAAATTTACTCGCAATCCTTGTATTCCTCATTCTCCTTATATATAAAGGAGGGCATAATGGCTAGCGCTGAAAAATCGAATTGAAGAAAATCGAAATCGAATGAAGACAAGCTCTGGCACGATCAACGACAGATGGCGTAGTTGAGGAAAAGAGTGTTAAGGCCAAGGTGGAGGGATTTTTGCCCGACATGTCCCTAGGAAATTCCCCAGAAAAAAAGCGTTTTACGGGGACATAAATGCCAGTCCTTGTAGACCCTCAAAAAATATCATCGTAGGGTCAATAGCTAGATAATTATTTTTACCGGGCCGGTAATTAGGTCTCAGGGGTGGGAAATTGAGGAATGAACGTGTAATTTCGTTGAAAGAAACCCCCTAGATTTCACTAAGATGAATTCTCCAATGATCGTTTTGGGAAAAATATGGCGGCTCAATCACTCCGGCAAAAAACACTCCCCACAATTTACACATCATTTTTCAATTTCGGAGAGGCAAAAATGAGTTTCACGGCAGAAGTGATCAAGAGCGAACGAAGGAGGGGCACTTTTGGGCGAGTAATATCCCAATGGGGGGAATATGAAAATCGAGGAGGTATTTACGGACATTTAAAAATTCAAAATTTTCGAAAAAGTATCAGGGGAGCATGAAAATCGAGGAGGTATTCACTGAAATTGAAAAATTCAAAATTTTCAAAAAAGTATCAGGGGAG